TTTTGCTACAAAATTAGTTGTGCTGATCATGTTTTTATAGGCCACACCAGGCTGCAGCCACTATGGGTTATAATAACATTAAGAAAACAGTATTTTTCTAGCTTAGCCTACACTCACAGCAATGCCAGCCCTTCTCTCTCTCAGAATTTACCAGGCACTGCATGTGCTTCTGCAAGGAGTCCCCTGGTCCCAGGAGGCTCCTTCTTGGTACCTGTCCAGCCTGGGTTTCCAGTCTGCCGAGAGGAGAGCCGCGTTCCCTGCCACCTCCAAAGGCAGAGCAGTGCTGTTTTGTGCATTTCACACAATCAGAGACTCCAGGGATTTCACTCTTTTCAAAATTAATAGCCATCTTTCTCTAGAGCTTTGGCTCAAGTTCCTAGTTGCTGGGACACCACTGGATAGAGAATAATATGATTATTACACTGAACCATTCTCAAAATTACTCTGACAGCCAAATCTTATTTTTCAATGAGTTTATTTCCTTCCCCCACTTCTCTCTCTCCCCCCTCCCCTTCTCCCTTTTTGCTCTACATGAGGCTCCTCTGCTGTTCACGCTGATAGATCCTCTAATAACCAGTCCCACCTGGAAATCTCTGTGTAACTGATGTAATTTAAATATCAGGTTTCTATTGTGCTTATGCAGGCATTATGGATTGTAAGCCATTCCCTTGCCTTATTAAAATTTCCTTATTTTAAAACATTTTATCACAATAATCACCTGCATGGATAAAAAAACAATAACACAGGGCTTATCATGAAAAATGGCAGTCTACTGGCCCACCCTCTCCCAGCCCTAATTTGATTTCCCGGAAAGAACCACACTTTTAATTGTTTCTGTTTCTGATGGCTACTTTCCTAATTCTGAACAATGCTGTTTCTTTTTTTCTTTTTTTAATTCAATGATTTTTTTAAAAAAATATTTTAATTTATTTTTTTAGAGAGAGAGGAAGAGAGTGGGATAAAGAGATAGAAACATGGATAAGAGAGAAACATTGATCAGCTGCCTCCTACACAACCCCTACTGGGGATTAAGCCCACAATCCCAGCATGTGCCCTGATGGGGAGTCAAACCGAGACCTCTTGGTTCCTGGGTTGACTGCTCAACCACTGGGCAACAATGCTATTTCTTGATTTACTTGGTAAATCACTGTATTAGGTAGAAAGATGAGTTCTCCTCTTCCGACTCCTCTCCATCTTCCTCTTGCTTTCTGTGTTTATACATTTGCTTTCACATTATAAAGGTTTGCATTTATAATTTCTCTAGTAACTATATTTAAGTTTTACCTGTTTTGTGCATAGGCTGCTTCTAAAAGTCCAAAACCACGAATAATCACTGATATATTATAACTACATAAATATTGTTAAAAAAGATTAGATAGTAGGATTTCATTTTCCTCTTCCCAAGGGCTCTACAGATCATTTTAAAACTGTTCAAATTTAATATCACAGAGTTTTACTTGGCTGGTTTGATTTTATATTTCCATCTCTTTTCACTTATGCAGAAAATCTTGGTTCCAATGACAATGACATAACAATCAGAAATTGTCAAGCCTACAGAGAAAGTAGAATATTATGATAAATGCCTGAATGCCCTTTATCTAGATACACAATGGTTAAAATTTGCCGCATTTGCTTTCTTTCTCTCTGTTTTTGCTGAGTCATTTGGAAGCACATTACAGACAGCATGAAAATTCACCACTTGCATGTTTCTCCTTTATTGTCCCTTACTTTTATTTTATTTTTTGTCTTTCATGACATTGACATTTTTTTAAATATATATATTTTTATTGATTTCAGAGAGGAAGGGAGAGAGAGATAGAAACATCAATAATGAGAGAGAACCATTGAGTGGCTGCCGCCTGCACACCCCCAACTGGGGATCAAGCCTGAAACCCTGGGCATGCGCCCTTGACTGGCATCGAACCTGGGACCCTTTGGTCTGCAGGCCAACGCTCTGGGCATGCGTCCTTGACCGGCATCAAACCTGGGACCCTTTGGTCCGCAGGCCGACGCTCTATCCACTGAGCCAAACCAGCCAGGGCAACATTGACATTTTTTAAGTCCAGATGTCCATAACCTGGTTTCAAAGGGAAGTAGCCAAGGAGTCATCCAGCCTCAGGGCTCAAGAGTTGAAAGTAATTAGATTAAGATGTCCTTATCTTTAGCCTGCCTGGAGCTTAAACCGTGTGCCCTTTAGTCAAAACCTGATTATTGTCTTCTGCTGCTTCAGGAGTGAACAACCACCAAAGAGAGAAACTAAGGCTAGGTCAGTGAAGTGTGCTGAGAAGAGAGACGGAAAAAAATGATCTTTTTAAAATTATAGTTTAGCCCTGGCCAGTGTGGCTCTTTGGGTATCTTTCCATGCACTGAGAGGTTGCCAATTTGATTCCTAGTCAGGGTTCTTGCCCAGGATGCATAGGGAGCATGCAGGAAGAAGCTGATAATGTCATCGATATTGCTCTCTCTCTCTCTTTCCCTTGCCTTTCCTTTCTCCCTAAAAATCAATTTAAAAATATTTTTAAAAATAAAACTACTGTTTAAATCAAATCAGAATTACAAGGACCCTCGATTTCAGTTTTCAAATCCATTAATGACCCATGTGTGAATCAATTACAATGAGGTTTTTAAATGGTGATTCCCCCCACTTTTTTAAATTAAATTTGTTGGGATGACACTGGCTAGCAAAATTATACAGGTTTCATTTGCTCAATTCCACAACACATCATCTGTACACTATATTTGTGTTTACCACCCCAAGTCAAGTCTCCTTCCAGCAATATTTATTCCCCCATAGCCTACTAAAATGGTGATTTTCTAAATCATTTTTTGAAATGGCTGCTAATATATCAGCCTTTACAGTTGTGTCATAATATACTAATTAAATCCCCTATTGATGGACATTTAGGTTGTTTTTACTCTTTTGCTGTTACAAATAATGCTGCAAAGAACTTTCTGGTATCTTTTACCCACGTCTCAACTATAATTGTCAGATAAATTCCAGGAAGAAAAATTACTAGTTCAAAGGCATTTAACATTTGGTAAATATTTCAATATTACATCTCCCCACCCCACCCCCAAAGGAGTGATATTAATTTACATTCCCACAGTCAGTGCATTAAAACTGCCTATTGCCGGGCTGGCGTGGCTCAGTGATTGAGTGTTGATCTATGAACCAGGAGGTCATGGTTTGATTCCCGGTTGGGGCATATGCCCAGGTTGTGGGTTCGATCCCCAATGTGGGGTGTGCAGGAGGCAGCCAATCCATGATTCTCTCACATTATTGATGTTTTTTTTCTCTCTCCCCCCTCTCCCTTCCTCTCTGAAATCAATAAAAATGTATTTTTAAAGAGATATTAAAGAATTATGTTAGTTTTGTTAGACATGTTGTTAGTGTGAAAAAAAGTCTTTGTCAGTGAGGTCCAACAAAGTATGTATGACTAAACTGACATAATATCCAAAATTTTCTTTATTGATTTCAGAGAGGAAGGGAGAGAGAGAGAGAGAGATAGATAATGAGAGAGAACCATTGAGTGGCTGCCTCCTGCACACCCCGCACTGGGGATCCCTCCTGGTTCATAGGTTGACATTCAATCCCTGAGCCATGCCGGCTAGGCCAAAATTTTCTTTTAAAGACTCAGGGATGAGTCAAAGATTTTTGGCTTGAGCAACTGGGAGAGCAGGGCTGTTATTTGATGAGATTTTGAAGACTTCAAGAGGAAGCAGTTTTGCAAGGATGGAAGTGGGAGAAAATTGTAAGCTTGGTTTGACATGTTAAACTCGAGATGTGTGTAGATACCAGAGTAGAGATGTTGAGTAAGAATGGAATTCAGGGAAGAGAACTGGTCTGGAGATAAACATCTGAGAGTTATCAACATATATATGATAATTAAAGCCATTGGTCAGGATGGAAACATCTAGGAAATTGGATTTTTGAAAAGAGAAAAAGGAGAGGCCTGAGAACTAAGCCCTAAGTACTCCAAAATTCAGAGACCATAGATAAGGAGAAGTCATTAGAGGACTAGGAAGGGGTGGTCAAGTGAGGTGGGAGGTGATCAAGTATGGTAGCCCGAGAGCCAAGTGAAGAAAGTGCCCCTCCTCCCAAGGATTCCAAAAATGGTGGTATAATGACTATGTTTAACAAGTGAATACAACACAGTAATTTATTCCCCTGCATCAAAATATATAGCAACTGAAGATAATCAATTGATATAAAATGCCAGAACTTTTTCTTTTTTAGAAACCCCACATTTTAATACCTGGCCATGCACATAAGGAAACAAGGAATGAGGATACAAAACAGCCAAATGTACAAAACGATAAAGCAAATTTTCAGGCCTGATAGAGATCGTGCTCACAGATACTGGGGGCCAAACATCTGTACAGTTTCAAAATGCCAGAACTTTTGGTAAAGTCATATTCTTTTTGAGTTTTTAAATGAATTAGCCATTATTATGCAAATTACGCATTGAATAATAGCTAAATGTCGCTGTAATCTCAAGATTTAACTCTGTTTTACATTATTTTAGTGAATACTATTGTGTTTCATCAAGGATCAACATTCTCATCCACTAGCTGCTGAGCATATTAACTGCTCTTGGCTCTCAGCTGAATTCCTTGCTGGGAACACCCCTTGGGTGTAAGGAGCTGCCTCTCTTAAAGTTATACCACCTGATAGGAGACAGCTCATATCAAATACCTGGTTGAGGCAGGAATACAAAACTTGGCCCTCTTGCCTCAAGTTGGGACAACTCTGAAGGATCATCCCTGATCCAGAGCTCCCCATTGGATCAGTGAGGCCTCAGCGGAAACCTCACTGGGGTCAGCTTCTCTGCTGTCCAGTCCTACCTTCCTCACTTTCTCAGAGGTATCTCTCCAATAAACTACATGCAACTCTCCACCCCAGAATTTGCATGTAGGGAACCCAGCCTAAAATAATGTTCTATGGCACTCTCCTCCAAAAGGAATTGTGCCATTTCTAATATAACTATAAAATCTATTACCTGTTAAAAAAACAAGCTGGGTCATTTGCTCTGTGGAATTGTCCATATTCTGGAGTTGGCTGATTATATCCCGGCATGCATTCTTTATCTGATACTTTCTGTAAACTGGCAGTAAAGCTAGAGGCTTCATTAGATTCACTTCCATCTGTTAAAACCTGGTATCCTGAAGCTTCTTTACTGATCTTTTCCTACCCCGTAAAATTTAAATATTGATTATATGATTCTAAGAGGAGGAAAATATCAAAGTTTCCTGGGATCAGGAGAGATCATTTATGACTGCACCTCCCCCAACACCCACCCCCACACACCCACACACAGACCTGGCATATGCAACGAAAAGGCTTTCCAGATACACACTGAGATTCCGAAGGAATGGCTGGAGAATGTGCTTACCCAGGTTTACAGCCTTAGATGCGAAGTACCCTCCTCCCACAGCAGAGTATGATTATCTCATTCTCATCTAGGAAAGAAACCAAAGACAGCAACAGCGTCTCTGGATTATTTGCATGTAGAATTCCACATTGTTACTAATTTTAAAAGCCATCCTGCTTTTCTTCTGTCAAATGGTTTGATTGTGGATCACATTTTTTCACCGACAGCTGGTGTATTCTAAGTCAATTAATCAACATGCATTTATCAAGCACCTGCTGTGTGATCAACGTCATTCTTGGAGAATTCATGCTGATTAAATTCTCTATAAAACAATTAGGAAGCTGTATCTTGTTTCTGTTCTGCCCCCATCCCCCAATTCACATAAATGTATTCCAAAATCAAAGAGATGCTCTTTCCGTATCAATTTACGGTTTTGAATTATCTACACCCTGCTCCATTCTGTTGAGGGTTGATAACACCCTGGACAATTATGCATAAATGTATATCCTTCTGCATAATTATGTTCTCCTATGTATCTCCTTTTAAAAAAATTTAAGATTTTTTTGTTTATTTTACTTTTTTATTAACATCATTACACATAAGAGAAACCAGCTTGAGCTGGCTCAAGGGAAAATAAAAACTTACTGGAATTATATTAGGCTCTCTCATGGAATTCAAAAAAAACAACTGAACTACCAACCAGGCCTCTGGAACGACAGAAGACAAGGAAGGAAGCTCTGGGGACCCTCACAACAGCTGCTCATGACCTTCACTTTGGAATTCTGCCACTAACATGACTCAGAGCCAAATTTCTCCATTCTCTGTGTATTTCAGTTCAAAATTCAAATTCCTGAGAGGAAGAACCTGATTGGCTGAGCTGTGGTTTGAAGCCTACTGCAGCTCCAATCAATTATGACCATGAGACAGAGTCTCGTGCTCTAAATTCAAACTGTCCCATACACTGGCCACGTGTGCCTATGGAGCATTTGAAACATGGCTAGTACAATTGAGGAACTGAATTTTCATTTTATTGAATTGTTATTAATTAAACATTTAAAACTGAAGCAATGTAAAATATTTTTTTTCATTACATAAAACTTTAATATTTTGGTAGAAGTGCATTTCACTTTAATTGTTAAAATTAGCCATCTGAATTAAGATGTGCTGCCAGTGTAAAATACTCATCAAATTTCTAAGACAGTACCAAAAAGAAATAATGTAAAATATTTCATTAATAATTGTATTATATCCTCAGGTGAGGATAGAAAAGAATAATAATTATATTTACATTATATTGGTTTCATGTTGAAATGATAATGTTTTAAATATCTTGGGTTAAACAAAATATTAATAGTTTACCTATTCTTTTTACTTTTACAAATGTAGCTACTAGAAGATTTTAAAGTACATATGTGGTGCTCAGTACATTTCCACTGGACAGAGTTCTTCTGTATAGCTACCAAGGATCCATTTCTGAGGACCAAGGGCAGTTTCAAGATACTGGTTAAAAGTTCTGAACGAAATAGACCCCTGAAAGCAGTCAATTACACAGTAAAAAAAAAAAAATATAGAGAGAGAGATTTCTGGGGCAACCTAATGTACTCAAATAGTGGAATGCATCTCTTCAGCATTATTTGACCACTTCATTGCAATATTTGTTATATCATTAAGGAAATTGAAAGCTATTATCTTTGACTTCAATGTTTAATGCTACAAATTTCCATCCAACCACACTTATTAACAAAGCCTCTATCCTCATGGAGGTGAAAATGTGGTAGAGGGGAGAGACAATAAGCAAAGACACAATGCCCAGATAATTAATAGGCACTCGGCAAAGCAAAAAGTAAGGAGGTAGAGAATGACAAGGGATGCTCTTTAGCTGGGTGATTAGGGAAGACTCTGATCTGGTGATATTGAAGTAGAGATTGGAATAAAGGGGAAAGGGTGAGTCATGTGACTCTCAGGAAAAGCAGCCCCGGGGAGTCAGATTGTTCAGGGCCCTCGAGACAAGGTAAATGTGAATGGAAACCTTTGCAGTGTTGAATGCAAAACTTTAAAAAACTGCCAAACACACAAAGAAACAGACACCCATAGAACCTAAAGACAACCATAAAAGAGACATGAATTCAGAGCCACATCAATACCTAAAACTTGCTAAGCATATGCATAGATAATTTATTATTTTATTTTCATTATTTTTAATCCTCATCCAAGGATGTTTCTACTAATTTTTTTTTGAAAGAGGGGAAGGGAGAGAGAGAAACATCGATGTGAGAGAGACACATTGATTGGCTGCCTCCCATACACACTCAGAGATCAAACCTGCAACCTGGGTACATGCCCTGACTGGAAATTGAACCCGCCACCCCTTGGTGTGTGGGACGAAGCTCCAACCAACCAAGACACATTGGCCAATGCATGCATAAATAATTTATATACAAGAGGTATACTGTACATATAATAACTGCCAATTATCTATACATATAAAAGCCTAAGCAACCGGTCAACTGTTTGACTGTTCGACCGATCGACCGGTTGCTATGATGCACACTGACCACCAGGGGGCAGACACTCAATGCAGGAGCACCACTCAGCTGACCAACAGATGCCAGACACCAGGCTCACAGCTGGGGAGCACAGCTGCAGCAGTGTCCACAGCGGAGCGGCAACTGTGGCAGGCACAGCTGGGCTGGGATGAGTGGGAGCGGCTGCCTGCCACTTTGCACACTATTACATCCCTTGGGGGATGTAGGACTGCCAATTTCGGCCAATTCCCGCAGGCCAGGCCCAGGAACCCCATTGGTACATGAATCTGTGCACCAGGCCTCTAGTACATAATAAGTACCATTTTTAAAGCACTTGCTATATGTCATTTAGTTTGTATTAGTTTGCTAGGGCTGCCATAACAAAATACCATACACAGGATGATTTCAACAGAAATTAATTTTCTCACAGTTCTGGAGGCTAGAAGTCCAAGCTAGGTGTCAGCAGGTTTGGTTTCTTCTTAGACCCTTCTCCTTGGCTTTCAGATGGTGCCCTTCTTACTGTGTCCTCATGTGGTCTCTCTTCTGTGCATGCTCATCCCTGGTGTGTCCAAATTTCTTCTTTAAAAA